AGTTTATGAGTCCTCGTGTGTCTGGTAGGATTTGATAGATGTGAAAAATGTAAATGCCCCTTTCAACTAACTATTCAATTGCATTAGAAAGGGAAATAAATGTAAGATCTATCTTACTTGTCTATTCTACTTTACTGTGACTGAAATCAAGTTATGTTTAAGATTGTTAATCATGGTGTATATGCCTGGATCACCATAAACTGACTGTGACTGGATCTTCTCTCTTCTGTATGCAGGGTAGGATGAAGCTGTTTGGGACTATTGTTTATCCCAAAAACAGGTACCTAACACTGCAGTTCTCTAAAGGTGGGAAGAACGTGATGTGTGAAGATTACTTTGATACCATGGTTAGTGTTTGTTTACTTCTTATATCACCATTCTCTCATGATTTACAGGTCTTCAATTTTTAAGCTTCTTGAAATGTTTTACTTCTTCAGATTGTATTTTCTGATGCATGGTGGATTGGAACCAAGGAAGAGAATCCAGAAGAAACCCAACTCAGCTTTCCAGAAAATATGAATATGGTAACTACAATTACTCTCTTTTTACCCACAATTGCAAATCTATTTATTGGACATAATCTTGACATATTCCATATTTCTCACAGGGGCAACAAAAAGAGTATGATTTTAAAGGTGGTGCAGGTTCAACAAGTGAAAGAATACAAGGGGTAACTCCAAGTAGAGTAACTCAGGTCAAAGTCAAACATCAGGAGACTCCTGTACATAAACTAGAAGAGGAATTTTCAGACAGTGATAATGATTTACAAGATTTGAGTCAAAAAACACCAACTAGGCATTCAGCAAGGACCTCTGGAAAGAACTATAAGTAAGCATTCTTTCATTTATTGTTAATAGGTTTTGTGTTTATGCATACATATAACTAATAACTAAGGATTAAGGAATAAGTATCTTTTTTTAGGTTTGCAGAATCTTCTTCTGCAGATGATGCAATTGATTTGGATATCAACTCTGAATCCTCCAATGAGGAAGAAAATGTAACAGGTGGAAGTCCAATCAGGTATCTTCTGAAAACATTTTGTTTCAACAAAAATGGAGATTGAAATCTGAAAGTCCTTTTGCTATGTTCTACAGTAAGGATCCTGAAGAAACAGAAGTGATTAAAGAAGCTACAGAAAGTAGTATTTCAGCAACAAAAGTAAAGGATCATGGCTCTCTTGTTCAAACCACTATCTCTACATTATTCAAGAAAAAAGAGGAAAAGGTCATACTTTTAAATCATGAAATATTTTCAATCATTATTGATTTCCACCTTTTAGAGTAAATTAATTACTGTGGTAAGTAAGTGTCAATGACTTGTTATATTAAACTTATTATGTTTACAGATGGCAGTAAAGGAAGAAAAGGGAAAAGCAGTTAAAGGAAGAAAAGCTAGTGGTATATTACTATATTATATATGGCTATATGTTTATATAATTGTTATTTTGTTTATTGTCTAGTAAACATATTAGTCTAATTTATTGTTATACTTCTCACTTGTAGGTACTAAATCTACTCCAAGGAAGAAAAAGGCTAAGGTATTCTTATTAAGTTTCTTTATAGGATTGATAAATATTTCTGTTCAGGTATATATTTAAAAAGGTTGTGAGAATATAGTGACATTTTTGCATATAGTTTGTTGAGAAACTTTATATGTCTTCCTTAATTACTTAACAGAAATATTTTTAGATTTTCGTTTGACAACATTCCCATTTGTTTTAGGTTTCTGATGATGAAATTGAAGACATATCAGATCCATCCGAGGTAAGATTTTTTTTTATTACTAATCAGCTTTTTATAATTTTACTTAATGTCACTTGCAATATATTCATATGATGAAATAATCACCTCAAGATTCATGTATATGTGATAATGCAATTATTCAACTAATTTTATCATTAAATGATATGTTTAGGATTCAAGTGATGAAGATTGGGGTGCTTGACTTTACATTTAAAGTCAACTGAAGCTCTTGGGAAAACATTCTTCATCAAATGTTGTATGCATATGTTTTAATTGATTTGTGCACTATAATATAGTCTTATGGATTCTATTCATTACAAAGACCTGTTGTTATCTATGTTCCATAGAATTATAGCGTTTAAATTGACATGTAATTTTATTAAAATGTTTGTTTTGTCAATTGTGTAAAACGAAATGGATAGAAATATCGATGTGATATGAAATATCTCAGTAAGTATATAGTAACAGAGACAACAACGTATTAAAACTTAAAACGGAAATAAATCTTGAGAAACTTATAAATCGTTGCTTGTTATCATCCTATTTAATCTTATACTCTATATTCTATATCTAAATCTAAATATCTAAATATAATAGTAATGTAAATTGAACGTTCAGGAAACATATTTATTTTTACCATATTAATTTGAATATATTTTATTTTATCCATCTAAATTTCACATGACCGGTCGTAGAAACAAGCATAACAATTCTTTACGTTTTAGAATCGATCCTAAAATAAGATGTTATAAAAAATTTGAGCTAATATCTATTTAAATATTTGAAAGAAAACTAAAAAACTAGCCTTGAAATGCGCCGTTTCATTGAATTTACAGTGAAAAGTCTCTTTATGTTTGTTGATTTGTATTAAGTGTTGTTTTTGAAGTTTTGGTTTTTCATATATCTCATATTGTATTACCAAACGAGGGTCTGAGATATTTCTATCGTGGTGTAGTCTAAAAGTGGGTGCGAGTCTTATCGGGTGCATGTGTGGACTAGCTATCCATCTTGTGGACTAATTGGTGGTTACTTCCACTATATCCTGGTTTATTTTTATGAGCTATAAATGAGTAGAATGTTTTGTGCTATCTATTTGAAAGCTTGAGGATTGACAACAATTAAAAGTTTGGACTATTGAGATTGACATGAGATTTGAAGAATAGAATTAATTCTTTTGCATGTTTAATTTATAGAATTATTTCCTTGTTATTTTTTGAGTTGTTATTATCTGTCTAACCATTGTTTAACATCTTAGAAATTCTTTGGAGTTTGACTTTGGATTATTAGTTCATATACCCATTGACTTTAGATACTGGTTTATATAACCCTTTGATTTGGATTATTAGTTATTATTCCCTTGAGATTTGATTTGTCGGTTGTTAAACCATTATGAGTTTATGACTTAAATTTAGGTCCCTTGTACCCTTGATTTGATATTATTGAGTTTTTGAAAACTTTGTTGGTTTTCTATTGATTTTTGGAGGTTTGAATCGTAATGATTGTCATCATTACTTACTCAAAATTAATCAACATCGAGTATTCCCACTAGACATTCTATTGTCTAACTATAATTTGACATGTGTTTAGATGAAGACCTAGAGATAAGAATAGAAGATGATAATGAAATTTTTGAAAGCACCTTTGTATGGTATTTTGAACTATATTATGATACAAATTGTAACAACCTTATTATTTTAAACTTTATAGTATGATTATGATATTTGGGACCGTTATTCTGTATTTTTGACATTCAAAATGAGATTTAAAATCAAAAGATTTTAAAAGTTTTTTAAAATTTATCTTAACAATGAGTGTTTCACAAACCTTTATATTAACGCCACTTCAGTTTTTTGCCTACAAAGAAAGAAATAAGCGAATAAAACTTTAATAATCGATAATATAGTTAACAGATACTTGACGAATATTGTTTAAAAATATCTCAAGTTGTATAACGATTGCGATCAATTTTATACCTCAAGTGGTTGAATTTGACATTTGCAAATTAAGCGATTAAACTCAACATAATCTTAATTAGCATTTGTAAATGAGAGGTGATTCGTACACAACACAAGTTTTCTATTCATAACAATTTGTGCCTTGAAGTATTGTATTGTACAACTCAACTAAATATAAATTGTTGTATACGGATAAAACTGTTGTGTACGAATCGATTTCCTTTTTAAATTGATTCAAATTACTTATCTCCGGTCTAATCAAATAAGTGAACATTTTTAAAATATAAAATATTATCTACATTGATTGTGTTTGTGTTTGATGATGTTTTACTTATTTTAAAATAATATAAAAAATTCCCAAGCCAATACACTTTTGTATCTTTTGCATTTGATACATTTGGTTTTCTCGCACCAGAGGCGCGGTAAAACTATTCAATAGAATCCAACGGATGATGCATTCTAATGTTATATATCCTAGATCCACAGATGTTTTCAAAAGACTAAATATATGAAGACTAAATATATAACAATAAAAAAAATACATCTATCAATTACAATTTATTTCCGCACAACATGGGCATGATACCTCTAATTTTTTAAATAAAACCAATTGGATATCCTAATCCTAACTATTACTTGTTAGTTTTGGTCCTAGTAGTTGGCTTTATTTGTTGATTTCGAATTCCACCTTAGACGCACATAAGAAAACACAATGTCCAGTTTAACATGCTAAAATCTAAATTAGTTTTATTTGTATCAAATTCTTCAAGGTATGATAACAATTATAATTATAATCTTTGAATAATGTTAAGACGGATTGATAGTATGATTAATCGCTTTCTGTTTTCTTTAGTCACAATCTTATTTCATTCTTCAATTGGTTTGAGTATCATTGTTATTATCTTGAATAATTGTGAAATTAGAAATTTCTCAGATTAAAATCGGTGTAAATGACATTAATTCAGACGTTATGTAACTTTTTTTTTCTTACGTTCTATAATTACCATGTTTAAAACATTTTACAAAAATCTCGAGAGCTATTTATGATCCAAACAACAAAAAGAAAAAAAAAAGAAAAGAAAAGGGAAAGGGAAAGGGAAAGGGATTTCCAAGGCTCAATGGAAAAGGTACAAATTGCAATTCCAGAAGTTCCTTTAGCTGCTTTTTGGGCCATGGCTTCCTCTCGCCCTTCTGCTTTCCCATTCTTTACACAAGCTTCAACTGCATTGTAACATTGTTCTTTCCTTCGTTCACTCATTCTTTCTTTTTATCTGCTACCTGAGGGACACCGGCGTTTTCTTCCATGGCAGCAGTATTTGTTGATTCATCACACATTTTACTTCTGTGCTGCTACATCTCTCCAAACAACAAGACTCACACGAGATTCAGTAAATACAGCTCCAGTGAAGTTACTAGTTCTTCTTATCCTTCTAGGGTTTCGTTCAATTCGTTGTCGAGAAGGCGTCAACGACGAATTTTGTTGTCTGTAAGCGGTCGCGAAATTGCTGACGTTCGTGTCGCTGATAATAGCAACAATGTTCATCATACTCGATCAGCATTTGTTGAGATACCTGTCACTTGCTACCAGGTTCCTTGTACTCGTTTCATGATTAATTTGTGCCTTATTGGTGTCAATTTCTTGACACTATACCTCATATTCACCACTCACACTTACATGTATCCTTAATATCAGATTGGCTCTAGATTTGAACAAAACAAGCAGCCAATGTTATTGATTACTCTGTTGCTGTAATTAATACTGTATATTACTGGGTTTAACTGTCTAATACTGGGATTAATTAATCTAATCTGACTGATAGTGATTATATGAGGGATTTCTTAGTGTTACATCCTTGTATATGTCTCTCTGCTTCATCATGTATAGTCATTAGTATTTCAACCAACCACTTATGAGATTCCTTATGTTGCCTCTTGTTGAAGACTAGGGTATTTGTAACCTCTGATAAGTTCAGATGCTTATCATATTGAATTACTTACAATGAGCATATTGCAGATTCTTGGTATTCCCGATAAATCAGAGAAAGATGAGATTGTTAAGTCCATGAAGCATCTAAAACTTGCTGAGATTGAAGAAGGATACACCATGGATACTATTGTTTCTCGCCAGGTGCCTTTGAATCTATTTTAATATGCCTAATAACATTAGTATGATCCCCTTGTTACAGGATAACAATAAACTCACTACATAAGCATTGATATATAGCTTTGTTTTGCATATTTTCAGAATCTTTTAATGGATGTGCGTGATAAGCTTCTTTTTGAAGCAGACTATGCTGGTAATGTAAGGGAAAAAGTTCCACCAAAGTCATCTCTTCAAATTCCATGGTCCTGGTTGCCTGGTGCACTTTCCCTCTTACAAGAGGTAGATGATTCTTGGAGCTACATTGTATTGTTTTTCATGTTCTTTTTGAATTTCTTTGTTTATATTTATTATATATATCTAATTTAAGTTTATTCTAGGTTGGAGAAGAGAAGCTTGCTCTAGACATTGGACGAACAGCACTACAACACCCTGATTCTAAGCCTTTTGTTCATGATTTGCTTTTATCAATGGCTCTTGCAGAGGTAAGAAATGGCAAAACGAGGTTTGAGCATGCCACCTGTCTTTTCCTTCACATTTTCTTATTATAGCCTTATAGGCGCTTTCTTGAAGTGTGCTATAGCAAAAGTAAACTTTGAAAAGAACAAGATTTCCCAAGGATTTGAAGCTTTAGCTCGTGCTCAGTCTCTTCTCAAAAGCAAACCTTCACTTGAGCAGATGACATTGTTATCTCAGGTGCTTTTTACTTCACTTTCCTTTTATTCAAATAAAGAAACACCCTAAATGGAAATATCAATTACAATATGTGCATTAGATTGAAGAATCTTTGGAAGAGCTTGCTCCTGCATGTACATTGGAGTTATTAGGCATGCCTCATACACAAGAAAATGCTGAGAGGAGAGTAGGGGCAATTGCAGCCTTGAGGGAACTCTTAAGACAGGGACTGGATGTGGAAAGTCAATGCCAAATAGAAGATTGGTCAACCTTCTTGAATCAAGCTTTAAATAAGCTCATGGCTGCAGAAATAGTTGAGCTTCTTACATGGGATAGTTTAGCTAATACACGAAAGAACAAGAAGTCACTCGAGTCACAGAATCAAAGAGTAGTAGTTGATGCAAATTGCCTCTATACTGTAATGATGGCCCATATTGCCCTTGGTTTTTCAAGCAAGCATATAGAGATGGTATATTCCTTTTGGAAACCTGGTACATTTTTTATTTATTTTAAGCTCACATATCCAAAAAAAAAAAAAAAATACATCTCAAGTATCTATTCATTAAAGCCTCTTCATTTTATTTTGTAGATTAAGAAAGCAAAAAGCATTCTTGAGTGTTTCGTGGCATCAGAAGGAATTGCTTTAAAACTTGAAGAAGCCTTTTGCTTGTTTCTACTAGGAGAGGTGATTTTCTCTTGTATAGAATGTGTTTAATCAACAAATTGAGGGCTATATTCGTCATTTTGTACAGGGCGATGAGGCTGTGGTTATTGAAAGGCTTCAGCAGGTTGAGTCAAGTTTAAATTCAACTTCAAGAACATTGTTATCACGGATGGACATCAAGGATGCTTCAAATGCCAAGAAGTTGCTTGTATGCTTTTGTTTATGCATTTTTTTTACAAAATTTCAAATGCCTTTAAATCATGGGTTATGTTATAAATGTAGATATAATCTCTCACACAAGAATTGTTGCTGGATTGATCAGGAATCATGGGTAAAGGATGCTTTACTTGGCTTGTTTCCAGACACAAGGGATTGTTCTCCATCTTTGGTGAGTCAACTCAACTCAACACTTGTTCAAAAACATATCTGCTTTTAGTCTTAAAGGAAGCTAATTTTTTAAACAAATTTCTTCAGGATAACTTTTTTGTTGGTGAAAAGAAGGTTTCTGAAAACAAGAATAGAAAAAGATCCCCACAAACATCACCAGGTTTAAACCAGAGACCACTTTCTTCTACTTTTTCATCTGATTGGAGAAGTATTGAAGATCATTCATCTTCACCACGTCTTGGGTCAACTGTAAAGCAGTTGACTCCATCAAATCTACAAAGCCCACTAATAGCAAACAATTTGAAACCTGAAAGCTACCCATCTGTTCAATTAAAGAGAAATTTAGGAGTACACTATGATAAAGTTTGGGAAATTTGGTTGGATCCAAATAACACAATTAGGTATATGAGCTTTGCCACAGCAATGTTTTGCTTATTATTTGCAACCATAGGTGTGCGGTTTCGTGGGCCCAGGAGGGTATCTAGTTGGGCCCTTAGTGGGCCCAACACGGGATCACTTACAGAGTCTTCTCATGGTCTTTGGGGATCTGCTTGTGATAAGGGGAATCATATTGCCAAAATGGTGATGTCATTGTGGTCAACGCAAAAGGAAAAAGTCAAGGGTGATATCGAAGGTGGAGGTGTAAAAGATTCTAGCATGGGTGCGAGTTTAAATTCATGTAAGAAGAGATCAATGCGTGTGGAAGAAGCTGAAAGTCTTGTTAAACAATGGCAAACTGTTAAAGCTGAAGCTCTTGGGCCTAATCATCAACTTCATAATCTTGTTGATGTTCTTGATGAGTCGATGCTTCTTCAGGTAATTAATGTTTTGCTTAGGGGATGTGTATTTTTAACTTAATGGTAACAGAAGGGTAAAATAGTCATTTACTCATGTTCAGAGGGTTCATCGAGTCAATCATGTTATCAAGAGTATGAACCTTTTAAATATTTGTTCAAAACGTATAATAAATCTTTGACCTTTTCAAGATCTCTGATATTTACAACTTTCCATTAATCTGAACACAGTGGAAGGGTTTAGCTGAGTCAGCAAAAGACAGGTGTTGCTTTTGGAGATTTGTTTTGCTGCAGTTGACTATTCTTCAAGCAGACATTTTGTCAGATGAAACAGGTAAGGAAATGGCAGAAATAGAGGCTCTTGTTGAAGAAGCAGCTGAACTTGTGGACTCATCTCATAAAAAGAACCCAAATTATTATAGGTAAATATTTTGCATTTTTACGAATTAGCCCTTTAACAATCATTACAAACCATATCGATAACATTTATCATGACTGATTTCAGTACCTACACAATCCGTTATTTGCTGAAGAAGCAAGAAGATGGATCATGGAAATTCTGTGAAGGTGATGTTGAAATCCAATCATGATCATACATACTCATTGTTGTCTGGAGCTCTTACAAGTTTTTTCATTTCTTTGTTCCTTTTTTTTTTTTTTTTAACATTGATAGAACATTGTTGTGGTTTAGTTTAACTATTTCAGAAATGTACAAAAAATTAATTTTATTAGGTGTTCATATTACACTTTGTGTCTTCCACTACAATGCCAATGGATCTTTAATCTTTATGTGTCGCGATAGTGATGCCATTTTTTGTATCTTTCATGACCTGAAAGCACAGGTCTAATCCTATCAGCAGATGTACATTTTGAACAACAGCATCCTCTTAACTCATCCATGCAACTCAAACAACACCTGAAAAAAGACAAAAAAAATATTTTTTTATGAACATCAAATTATAAAAAGTATAAAACTAAAGTTACTTACAGGAATAGCAGATTGCAATCCAGGTTTGCGCAATTCCGATGTCTCAATTCCGAGACTTTTGAATTACAAATGTAGCATTTAGCAAACACAACATCATCATGAACTTTGGTTTCATCATGTTTAACTACTGAAGGTGGTGGTAGAGAGAGGCGAGAGTCAAAAACAAATAAATTTCCAATCCATTCCACTGAGCCTTCACACTCTAGATAATGTGAGATTCCTCCTCTCAATGCATACAGCTTTTTGTAACCCCTTTGTCTATCAAATCATACACAATTCATTATTCAGACATAATGACATATATACATATACATGTACACACACATACCTAAGGATAGTGGAATATACGTCGCAACGAATACCACCTGTGCAATACATTAATATCTCTGTGTTTTCTTTGTTAACATTAGCTAAAGGATCTGAAGCAACGTCCTGTGTCAAATGAATAAACATCGATATAAACAAACAATTGATAGATACATTTTATAATTTGAAATCTGATATTTGACTTGTACATTGACAAACATGGAGCAAGTTATATTTATATACCTCTGATTCAGATATCCCGTAAGTTGTGCTCCTGAAACAGTCTACATTTGGTCGTTGAGCTCCACGAAAGTGACCAATATCCCATTCATAACCTGATCACAAAACCATAGTACTACAATAACAATTAAATAATTAATGTGTTATATATGATCAAATAAGGAGAGGGGAGAAGAAAAGTACCGTTTCTGACATCTAATAAAATGACATTTCTATCCTCGAGTCTCTTCCTCCATTCAGATGGTGTGAGAGGGGTTGCTCGCATAGATGAGTCAGTTAAAGGAAGATGTGATACCCCTCCTTCCAACTGAACAAAATTAACACAAATTTAAAAATCAGGAAAAGTCATGTCTAGTAAAGAAAAAAAAGAAGCAGCTTAGAGGAGTGTGACTGCTTTCTTGCCTGTACAAGAGAAGGCTTATACCGCAGTTTGAGTCTTGGGAAAGCATGCCTGTGAACAGGAGGTGATATCTGAACTAATATATCATTAAATCTCTCATCTTCTTTTAACCAATTCACGTATGCAAGAGCATCTTCTGATGGCCCACTGTACTGCACCACAAATTAACCAAATTAGGGTTCATATCATTCTTCAAATATGATTCAGGCCCAATTTAGATGCCATGCAGGAATCGTTTTTACCTACCTGAGCATTGATTCCCTGTTCATTCATGTATATCCGACCATGAATGTCACGACCCTACAAGTAAGTCATCAGTCATCACCACAACCTAATCATTTCAATTGCACATTCGAACACCCACTAAAACACTTATCAAAATCAAGTTTAACATTCAAATGAATTCCTTATAATTGAAAACAGAGAATGGGAACCTGTAGAAACGCAAGGTGTTTGGAGACCTCCTGTTCTGGGTCTTCGATGAACACAAACCGGTAGAAATTAACTACTAAAAAAACCTTTTCACCCTCCTCAAAAACCTCATCGGCTTTATCCCGCTCCCGTCTTACCCAATTGGGTTTCTTAGTCGATGAAGATGATAATGTGGAAGAGCATTTACAAGGTTGTAATCGAATTTTGATGCTCCTATATTTAACTGGAACTGAATATGATGAACAAGTGGTTTTTCGAGTGATTGTAGTGGAACAATTGAGACTTTTTGGTGGGATACATGGTAGGGTTAGAGTTAGAGAACACATAATCTTACAGTTACAGAAAGGAAAATGTGCGTTGCAATTGCCAGGAATTGGGTGTGGGTTTTCCTCTGCTCTTCAGTTTCAAGTTTCAATCGCACGAGCTTATCCTGCCATGCCAGGCACTCGCACTCCTCTATGCTTCGATATGGAAAGGGAAAAAAAGACACAAGCTTTTGTGTTTGTTTTGGGGCAAATCAACCCGGATCGACCCGAACCTCTCACTCCTTTGGCTTGGACCCGTAAAAAAGGTATTGTCGGATCTTGCACAATGACACAATAACTAACCATTTTAGATTACGTTTTATGATCTTATTTTTTTTAGCATTGGACACTTAAATAGAATCCGACTTAGCCTTTTATTCATATTAGTCATATATTTTCATAATTTTATGTATAATATTTAGATCTTGTATTATGTTGCGTTGAAATAGCAAATAAATTGAAAGAATTTGATCATAATCCAACCTATTTATACATCATGTCATGTCAATGCGTTTATTTTCGTGTCGTGATTGTGTCCGGAGTTGGGTTTTAATTAGAATTAAACCTTAAAATGTGCCGTGACATGTGAGGTTGAAAACCCAAATATATCGGTAGAATAGAAATGAGCATACATAAAGGGGAAAAAATAGAAAATTAGAACAAATAGTAGTTTAAATGAGGAATAACTAATTCATAGTAAATTTAATGGAAAAATTGAAAGAGTAGGACTTTGGGAGACAAGGGAAGGGATCATGAAGAGGAGGAAATGTTCGTGGGAACCGTGTATTTTGGGAGAAAATTAAAAAAATTGAAAATAAAATCTTGATTTAGTCGACTAAGTCGTTTTCACGTTACACAAATGATTAGATCCAAAAATTTTCTTTTATATATGGTTTTGTTTTTGGTCTTTCTAGTTCATTTAAAAAATTATAAAAATATACATATAAATAAATAGGTTATATTTCAACCCTAACTTCATATGTTTAATTTTCGTATCGTATCATATCATCCCGTTTAATTTAATTTTTTATTTAAATATCTTATCAAAACTATTTATTTCATATCGAGTTCATGTTTCACTAACATGCCGTACGAGTCACCTCTAATTTATATTATGCTTTAATTTGTATATTATAAAGTTTCATTTTTTAAGTATTGTGTGTTATCACAATTTCATAGTAGAATTAGTTTGTTGTTCTAAATTGTGTAAAGTCGAAGCAATAATATTTGAAAATCAAGAAGGTGGTAGACGCAAATAGTTTTCGGTATAATTTTCTTTTTGGTAATAATAGTGTAAAATAAAAACTTAGTATTTAAATTACTATTAACAAAAGTTTAAAATAGAAAGAACCATAATATAATTTGATTACTATTTACTAATATTATCGTAATAATTCCAAAACATATGCTGTATTCTAGTTTAGAAAAAAAAATCTCGATATTGGAATAAATGAACATTAAACATGTTACCTCTTAAATAAGTTTGAATAATTCATGTAATAAATAAGTAATATAATTGTGAAACTTAATTATTATTTAACAACATTATCCATATTCTCACAATAACATGTTATATGCTTTTTAAATGATTTAAAAACTATTCTCTTATAAAAATAATAAATTTCTTGAACAAAGTATTAAAATCTCATATATATTAAAGTTATATTTACCGTTTATCACCTTTGATTTTCTATATTTATTTTTTACTAATTTCTTTTAGAGTCATAAAACATGACTTCAAGTTGTATACTCTTCTTGATTATCTTCTATAATAACTTAACGATTTGAGCACTGTAGTCTTAAATTATTTTACCACCATGGTTAGGTTTTCTTCACTGATTTGGGACCATAGTGATTAGTCCACTCTCCTGATGTTGAACAGCACCTGGAGCATTCGGCGATTAACCCCAAGTCCCAGCCTATCACCATTCTTCGCATTACCCACCACCAACACCCCCAAATTACGCCCAAATCAAACTCCATTTCGTTTCATGGCATCCACAACTCAATTACAGCAACAACAACAACAATCGACTTCCGAGTTCTTGACGCAGAGACCATATCATCCTCCGACATGGGCATCTAAACTCAATCCAATTCCTTCTCACGCCTTCTCTCTTGGACATGTAATTCGTACCCTTTTCCCTCCTTCACTCCCTGTTTTATGCCGTTTTTGATTGCTGGTTTTGTTTGATTTCAGTTTCCAACTCCAATTCACAAATGGAACCTTCCTAACTTGCCCAAGGACACTGAAGTTTGGCTAAAGGTAGCTATTTTGGTTTGTACCTTGTTCAGTTCATGTATATGAATTTGTTTGATTGCAGATCGGTGAACGTTCTGGTTTTATGCCTAGTTAATTGCCTTATGAAGTGCATTTATGGATGTAATTGTTATATGATTGATGATTTTTACAAGTACTTGCTACTTTCTTTTATGAAAATGTGTATGAATAGCATGGAATTCAACTAAAACCTAGATGAGTAGTTATCAGTAATACTGTATATCATCATAGTTTTACTTCAAAAGATTGATGAATTCATATACATATATACCAATTTGGATTCTAAAGCATACTTGAATGACCACATCTAGATATCATCATAGTTTACCAGTTTCTTTTTGCAACACTGACACAAAACTTTTCATCATGTAAGCGTGATGATCTTTCAGGTATGCAATTGAGTGGAAACAAAGTTCGCAAACTTGAATTCTTGTTAGCAGATGCGGTTGCACAAGGAGCAGACTGCATCATAACCATTGGCGGCATTCAAAGCAACCATTGTCGGGCGACAGCTGTTGCCGCCAAGTATCTCAACCTAGATTGTTTTCTAATACTTCGTACCTCAAAGGTGTCCTATATTCAAACCATCTCTCATTTTTTTTTTTCTTAATCTTTGAATTTTATTTTTTAATTTAATTTTATTTACTATGCAGATTCTTGTGGAAAAAGACCCTGGATTGACAGGAAACCTGTTGGTGGAGAGATTAGTTGGTGCACATATTGATCTTGTTTCAAAGGAAGAATATTCAAGAATTGGAAGTTTGGTATGTAATATAAT